GGGCTAATCCCTCATAACTATTTGAACCCTAAATCTAACAAATGAATCTACTCAGACACAGCCAAGTGATTCATAGCAAAAGAATAAGACGAAAAGAAAATACTTTATTGCTAAGTATAGAATAGTAAAAGATTACAAAAACTTAGATCCTCTCTTGCTAAAGGACTTAGGCATAACTATAAATATGAGTACAATTAGGTTAAAAACTCGTCAGGGGAAATCTTTTAATTTGGGGAGAACTTGGGCTTTAAGTCGGCCAAGTAAATCTTTCTCATCACGCTCTGTATCGATCGATGGTACATGGTGTACATCGATCGATGGAGTATCTCGACTTCAACTTCTACGGAAGCGTCATCGATCGATTACACAAGGTGTGTATCGATCGATATGTGTCTCTTATTGTCGGATCTTCATAGTCATCTTGGAAAACTCTCTTTTAAGCTCCATAAGGCACCTAAATCATCACTTTACTCTAAAATGCTCCTGAACCTGAAAACATACTTAATAGACTCCAAAACATAGATAATTATCATAAAAACATATCAATACCATGACCAAAAACGGGTCAAAATCATGGTATATCAACATGCAAATCACAAAACATACTATAAAAAAAACTACTGTAGATCATTATATTTTATTCGTCTGGAAGACTTCCTAGAAGTCGTCTGGAAGACTTCCTAGAAGTCGTCTGGAAGATTTCCTAGAAGTCGTCTAGCGCATTATATTTTAGAAGACTTCCGAAAAGACTTTCCATAAGTCTTCCAAAGTCTGTTACAGATCTGAAAAACATGTATATCAAACCCAAATCTGAAAAATCTGCAAAAAAAAAATAAAGATATATTAGTTACAAAGACATGAGGCAATAGTGACAACTTCATATAAAGTTTGGTGTTTTCAAGTCAACGAGATCAGAGTGGGTTTGGAGAGTTTTAGTTTGGGAAAAAGATAAGAACTTTATGCAACATAAGTTACCAAATGAAGAAAAATCAGACATAAAAACTCACCAAACCGTTCAAATCTGTTATGACAGGGAGAGACATGGGAAAGGACTCTGTCAAAAGACTTTCTGGAAATCTTCTGGAAAACTTCCTGAAAGTCTTCTAGAGCATTATATTTTAGATGACTAATAGGTAAGTCGTTCCAGAAGTCTTCCACATCTGAAAAACATGCATATCTAAATCTAGATATGAAAAACCTGCATATCTAAATCTAGATATGAAAAACCTGCATATCCAAAAACATTCAAATGGCTAAAACAAAGAAAATAAGTGGAAAATTAGATAAAATATAACTTTATAGAACACACAAATATATATATATATATATATATATATATATATCTAAAATTGATAGATCTACTTTAACTGAATGGAAGATGAGAATCATGTAATGAAAAACCTGCAAAAAGAAGATAAATTAGTGACAAGGATATGGAAAATATTAATAAATTGATATAAATTTTGGTGATTATAAGTTCAACGAGATTAGAGAGAGGTTGGAGAGTTTTAGAATGATGAACATTACATTTTTCTTGCAGCCATTTGAGAAGAGGAGAGAGAATGTGTAAATTTTTCTTTATATAGGGAGACAAAAAATCCAATTAGGTTAAATATTTTCGATTCAGACGACTTACCTGTAAGTCGTCCAGAAGATAGACGAGGTACTTGTAAGTCGTCCAGAATAATTAAAGTTTTTTGCGGGAAACAAAAATATTTTTAGCGGGAAACTAAAATATTTTTGACGGGAAGTGATAAGGGTTTTTAGGCCTCAGAGCAAATCGATGAAGTATTTAAGATTGTCGAACCACAGGGAACTAGTGATCTAAGCACTAAGAGTACACAAACTTTCCTAATCTAAGCAAATAGAGAGTTCGATTTGTAACAAGCTAAGGTTCCTAGAAATATAAACAAGGTGATCTCAAATCCAATCTAGAAACAATCACAAGAACTACTTTTAATCAAATGATAAGGTAGAATCCATGGGATTAAGGTAATTGATCTAAGCAATTAGTTTCCAAGTGAAGGTGCAAGCTTCAAGCAATCACAAGTCTCTATAGGTTTAGACACTTCAATAGACAAACTCTTTCTCAAGAAGGATGCCCTTTTGCAAAGATAACTCAAGCATCTAATCTCTTAGGTTGGATGTTATCTAAACAAACATTATGATTTAGTCTACTAACCATCTAAGCTTTCTTAACATCAAATCTCTTTGGTTAAGTAAGTTTAGAGCAATAATAAGTTCATTCAAGCATTTTAACAAACACCTTCCGGGCATAAAATAACTTAAAGTCTAGATGAGAGTGATCAAGTTTAATCTAGCATTAAAAACACTTAGTAAGCATAGAAACAAGTAGATCTAACAATAAACACCTAAACCCTTCACTAATTATCCTAAATCTACCTAACCCATGGATTCAATAATTGTCTACTCAAAAATCTCCATGATAAACCTTAAACCCATATGAGATTTAAGGTTAATCATGTTAATGAGAATGAGAAACAAGATATAATATGAAGTACTTCCTTAAATTGATACAAAGATTCAAGCTTTTACAATGAAATACAAAATTCTAGAGAGAAAATGAGATCCCTTAGGGTTTTTGGGGTCCAAAACTATATATAGGGAGGTCCAAATTCGTCTTGGTTCAATTGAATTAAACCAGGTCAAACCGGTTTAAACCGGTCAACAATTTGAGATTGGTTCTTTTCTTCTCCACAGCGGCTTCGCTATCCCGCTCCACTTGGCCGTTCTCGAGCTCGCTTCGATCCCGGCGATGGCATCACCTTGCTGCAACCACCCGCTCCAGCTCACGCCCATGATACGGCAACTTCACCAACCCGTTGTGTGTTGCCCGCTCTGAACTAGCCACAGTGGCTACTCCTCCATGTGCTTTCAACACCGGTGAGCTCACTGCCTCCCTCGAGCTTCTCCTCCATTGCCATGGCCAAGCTCGAGCTTCTCCTCCATCGCGATTTTTCCTCTCCATCGAGTTCCAACCCTCGTCGTTAGCTCACCGGTGTTCATCCTCGCGTTCAAGTCCGTTGCGTCAACTCGTCGTGTCGAAGCTTCACCGCGACCAAGCTTCCTCCTTGGCGTCAAGTCTCCATCTCCGCCGTGTGCTCTCAGCTCTCCTCCGTCGCTGTGACTTCCGGTGGCATCGTCGTCGAGTTTCACGCCGTCGTCATCAACAGATCCGGCGAGAAACGTATCAAGCACAACAATGGTGACTTCTTCTTATTTTCAAATCTGGTCCTCAGACTTTTAGATAACTACGACTTAACCTAATAACTATTAAAAGCTTTAGAAATATCCTCTCGATCAACCCCGGTTATTCCAATTGTGCAATTTGGCCCTTCCCATAATTGCCGATTGGTCCCCCGACTCTTGATTTATTTCATTATGGCCCCCAAAGTCTTGAATTGTGCAGGTTGACCCTTGATTTTTGCCATAAACTTCCAATTGTGCAATTTAAACCCTGTTATATGCAAATGGACACTCTAATGCAATATATACACCTAATATGTAATCTAAATGATGAATATGAACTAAGATGAGATATTAAAAACTTATAAAATCATGAGATATCAGGAAACTAAAATAGAGGACTTCCTAGACGATTTCTAGACCCTAAACATAATTCCTAAACAAAATTAACTAACTAAACACTTCATAAAATAAAAGTAAACTTAAAAAATGTTTAATATACACATAAATAAACACATATAGGAAAAAAATTATTTTTTTAAAAAAAAAACGTTCAATTTTTCCAAAATCTAATCCTAAGAATACATACAATACTACAACATATGTTTTCAAACCCTAAAACCAAAGAATATACTGATCAACTACTTTCACTCATCTATGTTGAAAAATATTAAAATTATATCTTAATTTACATCACTTAAAACTGTTTATAATTACATGATCTTAATTTTTCACTTGTCAAAATAATTTTTTTTAAGATTTTTTTTTTTTTTTTAAGATCAACTACATCAGACGACTAACTTGGAAGTTGTCTAGACGACTTCCAGCATTTCAGACGAATCAAACAACTTACTGAGGCTATATTCGTAAAAATGACTTATGTTTTTGTGTCTAGCCACAAGGGTTTGGCTGTAATTACACAAGACTTTTAGATTAGTTTTGCATTGATTCAGGTTTATTCAAGTTTGGCTATAGGTTTTCATTTAAAATCATATTTTGAGTTATATTCGGCAAATTTCCCTAAAATATATGTAATATTTTTGAATTACTTTTTACATTAGTGTGGAATACACTTTTTTTTTTTACTTTAGTGTGGAATACACACTATTACAAAGTTTGGGAAAAAAAGTACAAGCAAAAAGTTCAGGTTTAAATCGATTATTTTCCGGTAAATTTTACCAGCCATTTCATTTATACTTTCAAATAATACTTAAATTATATGTCTATACAAAAGATATACACACATTGCATTTCATAATATATAGAGTTCAAGTAAATAAATATTTCTCTCAAATGTGTTTTGACTGTTCAAATAAAAAACATCTTCATTCTAAACAAACGACACCATGTCAAAGGACCAATACTAAATATAAAATCACTACACCATTGAAAAACTTCTGCAAATAGAGTTATCTATAACATTATTCTAAGTCTTAACTTTCTTTTATTTTTTTATCGACATGCTAAGTGTTAACTTAAAATTAGTTTTTATACAAAAAGATAAACATTATGCCACACATTTAACCTATAGATATAGTACGCGCGGAGATAGCACTAGTGAAACAAAAAATCCGAGTCATAGAGTCGATTAGAGACTCTCAGTTTCTGTTGCTGATTGTTCTGTCTCAGTGTTGTTACGTTAATAATCTATAAGATTGAGATTGTCTGCCTCAGAATGTGTTAAACTCGTTATGTAGATTCTGATTTCTTTGGTAACAGGATTATGTGCCAACTGTGTTTGATATTTTCAGCGTCAGTGTGATTGTCGATGGGAACTTTATTAACTTGGGAGTATGGGACACTGCAGGCAAGTTATAGCCTATGAGGTATTTCTTTGGTTCTTGCGTCTCTTAATTAGTCTTTAAACTTTCTGTGTTTATGTTTCGCCTTGATGAAACAACACAGGACAAGTAGACTATAATAGACTAAGACGATTGAACTATCATCTTCCTGATGTCTTCTTGCTAGCATTCTCTCTCGTCAGCAAATCTAGCTTTGAAAATGTTGCTAAAAAGGTTAAATATTAAACATCAATTCTTTGATATTATCTATTCACTTTGATACAATATGCTTTTCTCAGTGGGTACCTGAACTCAAACATTATGCTCCTGGTGTTCCCATCTTCCTTGTTGGAACAAAGCTTGGTTGGTTCTGTTTGTATTTCATCTGTTATCAGTCAAAAGATAAAGAGAGTTCTGATTAATGGATGTTTTTTCAGATCTTCGAGATGATAAAGAGTACTTGCTTGAGCACCCCGGAGCTGTTCCTATATCTACTTCTCATGTAAATTTACTCCTCTTTTCGTCATCGTTTTCTTTAAAACCAACATTGAGTTGTGTTGTGACGAACCGGATGCACTCATGGGCCAGATGTTCTACTAGAGCCATACCGGATGCCTATGCTGAAGGCCAGACGCTCAACTAGAGCCAAACGTCCGTCACCAGATGTCCAATCCCTCGCTTAGTATGATATTGTCCGCTTTGGGCCTAAGTTCTCACGGATTTGTTATTGGGTCGTTACTCCCAAAAGGCCTCATATTAAGTGAGATTGGACCAGCAATATATATTAGATTTTATTCTGTCTAATATCCGATGTGGGACTTGGATTGCCTTTTTATTTATTCTGACAATCCTCCCCTCAAACCAAGGACCACGGAACCTTGGGCTCTGATACCAATCTGTTGTGACGGACCGGATGCACTCCTGGGCCAGATGTTCTACTAGAGCCAGACCGGATGCCCGTGATGGAGGCCAGATGCTCAACTAGAGCCAAACGTCCGTCACTAGATGTCCAATCCCTCGCTTAGTATGATATTGTCCGCTTTGGGCCTAATCCCTCACGGATTTGTTCTTGGATTGTTACTCCCAAAAGGCCTCATATTAAGTGAGATTGGACCAGCTATATATATTAGACTTTATTATGTCTAATATCCAATGTGGGACTTGGATTGCCTTTTTTATTTATTCTGACAAGTTGGCCTAGTGATAAAGGGGTGTTGCTGTAACTACCGCAACTTGGGTTTAACTGGAAGAACTATTTACAATATTTGGGTTCCCGGCTAAGAGGTGAAACCACATTTCCTTAAGTAAGTTTCTTCCTTCTTATATGCTTTCTTCATTCATTGTAGGGTGTAGACCTAATGAAGCTTGTTGGAGCTTCTGCTTTATATAGAATGCAGTGCAAAGACACAACAAGTACCTCAAAATCATCATCTTTTTATAATTTTCTTTCAGAATCTTGCTGAAAATAGACCTCATTCGATCATACAGAATGTAGAAGCTGTCTTTGACGTGGCCATCAAAGTAGTTCTCCAGGTACCCAAAAACAAGAAGAAGAACAACAACAAGAAGAGAACATCGCAGAAAGGCTGTTCTATATTTTGATTAAGAGAAGAAGAAGAAACACAAACCTTTGTTTCCAAGTCCCCAGACTTATTTTTCTTACATTCTCTTGTATCAAACATGAATCTGTTGTTTATAGTCCTAAAAACTGACATATCAGAAGAATTTATTGGCCAAGTACTGAAACTTCGAGCTTGTATTCTTTATAGTCCATTCCAGTAGAAATGATTCTCTTTACATGTTTTCCCAAACTCGGTATGGTTGAAAGAAGAGACCAAGAGCCGTCTTGTTCATACTAGTTGTCTACTTTCATACTGCAAGTTATGGTTGACATCAACTTATAGATATTACACGAAATGTAAAAAGTGAAGTGCATTAGCGAGACCTAGAAGAATCTCGATTCTTCCGTTTCAAATAATTTACATGAGTCACCATTAATACTAGTACTAGCCACGGCCACCTCTCTTGCGATGTCCACCTGTTACAGGTCGTACCATGATTTTGTTACAGAAGTATGAAATAATGAAATTACTACGATGGATCAAGAAGAGGAGAACACAATTCAGTTTACAATTTCAGTAAAAAATAAGCTAATTCAAGTAATAGGAATTAGGAAGATGATATCAATTAAGTATATGTTTACACATTAGAGCTTCAAGGCCGCAGTAGCAAAAAAAAAAGTGAATAGTTTAGGTTTAACCAAAATCTCTTATTTTGTTTATACAATTTAACTTCATTGTAAATTGGAAAAAATTAATGCATATATGGAGTTCCGAACACGGAATCGGCCTTTTTCATAATCATTAAGCATCTATACCACCAAGACTCATATAATTATGTGCCCAAAAATATTTCAAATATTAATCGGCCGGATGCGAGTTCTTGTTTGGCTTAAGGCCGCCTCTGACTACTTTCATAGTACGAGTTATGGTGGACATCAACTTATAGATATTACACAAAATGTAAAGAGAGAAATTCATTAGCGAGACCTAAAAGAATCTCTATTCATCCGTCTCAAATAATTTACACGTGTCACCATCAATACTAGTACTAGCCACGGCCACATCTCTTTCCATGTCAACTTGTTATAGGTCGTACCATGATTTTGTTACAGAAGTATGAAATAATGAAACTACTATGATGGATCAAGAAGAAGAGAACACAATTCAGTTTAAAATTTCAGAAAAAAAAAAAATGCAATTCAAGTAATAGGAATTAAGAAGATGATATCAATTAAAAGATAGGTTTAGATTTTAGAGTTTCACGGCCGCAGTAACAAAAAAAAAGTGTTTAGTTTAGGTTTAACCAAAATCTCTTATTTTGTTTACACAATTTAACTTTATTGTAAATTGGAAAAAAATTAATGCAACTTTGAAGTTTGGAAAGCGGGATCTGCCTCATTTATTCATAATCAATAAGCCACTATACCACCAAATTTTGTATATTTTTGTGGTTGAAAATTATTTATATATTAATCGGCCGTAGGTAAGTTTTTTCTGGCTTCGATCAAGGGCCGCCTCTGACTACTTTCATACTACGAGTTATAATTGACATCAACTTATAGCTATTACGCAAAATGTATAGAGTGAAGTGCATTAGAAAGACATAGAAGAATCTCGATTCTACCGTTTCAAATAATTTACATGAGTCACCATCAATACTAGTACTAGCCACAGCCACCTCTCTTGCCATGTCCACCTCTTACAGGTCGTACCATGATTATGTTACAGAAGTGTGAAATAATGAAATTACTAGGACGGATCAAGAAGAAGAGGAAAACACAATTCAGTTTACAATTTCAGAAAAGAATAACCCGCAATTCAAGTAATAGGAATTAGGAAGATGATATCAATTAAGGATAGGTTTAGACTTTAGAACTTCACGGCTGCAGTAGCAAAAAAAAAGTGATTAGTTTAGGTTTAACCAAAATCTTTTTTTTGTTTACACAATTTAACTTCATTGTAAATTAGAAAAAAAAAATTTATGCAACTTTGGAGTTTGAAACAACCCACCTTATTTATTCATAATCATTAAGCCATTATACCACCAAAACTCATATAATTTTGTGGCCGAAAATATTTCATATATTAATCGGCGGGACGCGAGTTCTTGTCTGGTTTTGATTAAAGGCCGCCTCTGACTACTTACTTTGAATTATGGTTGACATCAACTTATACATATTACATAATGTAAAGATTGAACTGCATTAGCGAGACTTAGAGGAATCTCGATTCTTCCGTTTCAAATAATTTTACATGAGTCACCATCAATACTAGTACTAGCTACGGCCACCTCTCTTGCCATGTCCACCTGTTACAGGTCCTACCATGATTTTGATTTGCAAGTTGGTAAACGTTCATTTCCCTGGTCCAGTGAACATGGACAAGAATAAAGGATATTGTAATAACGATTCTTTATGTTAAAAATTCTTATTCTCAGATTCTTTCGGGAAAACTTTAACATGTCTCATTCAAAACCGTTCAATAGATATGGTACATTGTATCAAGCATGGATAGACCATAAACTTCAAGCTAGGTCTTCTCTTAGAATCAGAACAAAGAAAATAACCTTTCTCTATTACCTTTATGGGGGCAAAACGGGCGGCTATATTGCATAAATACTTGTAAATGGAAAATCTAAGACCATTAAGTAAATCAACAAGAGGCTTACGTCTCACGCTTTAAAAACAAGCCACTCGTTCATATTAATGTATTCTTTCTATTTCCTTTCGTGATTTTAATAAATTTTTTTGAGATTTATATTTATCTCTTATTTCCTTTTCCGAGTTTTTTTTTTACTTTTTATGTTTTATCATATATATATAATATATATATGTGTGTATATATATTAGGTTTCGTTTGTGAGATATATCCAAGCAAGAGAGATTTCCTTTGAAACAAACAACACAATGGCAACAAAACGAATATCGAAAGAGCTAAGGGAGTTGCAGAGAGACCCTCCAGTATCATGCAGTGCAGGTTAAGAGAAAACTTTTCATCGTAGCTATCTAATGCACGTACACTTATTAGCCATGCATCAAAGTAGAGAAAGATTTGATTCTTGTCTCTCTCTGTACTCTCCTTTTGTCTTTGGTTTGTTAGGTCCAATAGGAGAAGATATGTTTCACTGGCAAGCTACGATAATGGGTCCGAACGACAGTCCATACACTGGCGGTGTTTTCCTTGTCGATATCAATTTCACTCATGATTATCCTTTTAAACCTCCTAAGGTATATAAATTAAGGAATATACGAACTTTATAGTCTCTTGCCTATGGCTCAGAACAAAATCATCATGATTGGATTGTTGTTGTTATGTTTTTGGTTGATGTTTTCAGGTTGTATTCAAAACCAAAGTGTTTCACCCAAACGTTAACAGCAATGGAAACATTTGTTTGGACATTCTCAAAGACCAATGGAGTCCTGCCCTTACAATCTCTAAGGTTTGCTTGAAATCATTAAAAAAAGATTTTTTTCATGATTTTATACGTATACCAAGATGCTTTTGCCTCCATTACATAGATAGCACAAGTCACTTAACCTATTTGGTATTGCAGGTGCTTCTCTCTGTGTGCTCTCTTCTTACAGACCCAAACCCTGACGATCCTCTGGTTCCAGAGATAGCTCACATTTACAAAAACGATAGGGTCAAGTACGAAGCCCTGGCTCGAAGCTGGACAATGAAGTATGCGCTGCACTAAAACTCATGACTCCAAAGTAGTAACCCTTCTTCATTCTGTTGCAAAATGTCTACAACTTGTCTTTTTTCTTCTTCCTTTAAGTTTGGTCTTGTTATAAGACACTATAAAGTGGGATACTATTGGCGAGGTCTCTGTTTCTCCTTGCTTTGTTTTGTTTCTTTTTTTGACTAAATGTTTCTCCTTGCTTTGTTTTATGTTAATTAGTGTCACTACTATATTTGATATCGGTTTTGATTTATTGGCACTCAAGCTGATTTTGATTCTTTGCTTCGTGGTGGTTGGGCAATCTTATTCTTTGTAATATCAGGTATAGTACATGGCGGATCTAGAAAAGATATTATATAATATTTTTATAATATATTAATTAATTAGTTTTTTTTTTCTGACCAAAAAAAACTAATTAATTAATATATTATATAAATATTATATAACATATTTATAAAAAAATATTTTTAAGGCTAAACTGATACAACTAAAATAACAGTTTTGAAAATAAAAACAAGATGAATTCAATAACAAAATAAAATAAAATAAAAATAATAGATAAATTGCAAAGAGAACAATTTATACTAAAAAATGAGTTTTTTGAACCCTTAAAGAGCGTTTATATCAGCGTATAAACTATGCTTAAAAAATTATCATGTGACATCATTAGTATTATTAACTTATTACACTAATTCATATTATTATCAATTAAATATATAATATAAGGAATATAAATATATATATACATTTAAATACGAAAAGATATACTATAAGTAATATAAATTTAAATATGTAAATATATAATATACGAAAATAATAATAAGTAAATACATCATTTAAAAAAATAAATATAATACATTAAACATCTATCTTAAAATGTAAAATTAAATATAAGTAATTATACATTAAAATATAAATATATAATATATAAAAATAATAATAATTAAGTGCAAAACTTTAAATATGGAAATAAAACACTAAAAATTAATATACACTATAAAAATGTAAATACTACATTAAAAAACAAAAAAGAAAAGAAAAACGTATAATCTGACATAAAACAAATAATAAGTAAACCCACAATTTATAAAATGAAAATAATACATTAAACAAAGTAAATATACATTTAAATATGTAAATACTAGGACCGGCCCGTCCTACGGGCGGGATAAAAATTAAAAAATAATTTAAATAGTTAAAGTAAACATTTAATATAAAATTTAGAACACATCTCCTACTAATAGATTTATTTTGAAAACTTGGTACATGTTATTGTATTTGAATACTAAATAAACCATGCTATCTGGAATAATTTAGTTATGATTTTCTAATATAATATTACTTGTTATTTTTTAAAATATGTTTTTTCTGGTTACAAATTTTAAGATAATTTTATTTTGTTAAGTAATCTATGTTTTAATTATACATCAAGAATTGGATGTGACATTACATCATTTATTTTGATTTTCTAGATTGGATGACCATAAATAATCCAGTGAGAAAAGAAACAAACTTGTAAATATAGATTTGGAAAATACATATAAGGAAAATATTGGGTTAATGTATGATTATATATCTTGTGTGTGTTGTTTTTTTTATGTAAGCTTTTGCAATATTAGTATATATTATCTTTTATGGTTTTAAATAGTGTTAGGGTATGTTTTTTGGTAATTAGTTATCCATAATTGGTTGGTCAACTGTGTGTTGCTATAATTATTGAATGATCTTTATAGTAGATAGTTTATTTAAATCTTCATGACATTTAGGTACCCCGTGGTTCGAGTATATTTCCATTCAGTTTGACTAATTCAAGTTTAAAAATTGTTTCTGATGTTTGAATATTTTATGGTGTTTTTTGTATCTATCTTTCTTCTTAAAAAAATTGATACTTGTTTGGTTTTTAAGAACATTATATGTTTTAGAAAAATCGTTTATATGTTTATCGTGTCTGAATTGAATTTGTTGTTGTTCTGAGCAATGACCCTTTTAATCATGTGAAATATTAAGTTAAAACTTCATTGCGAGATAAAATGTGGGGCATAATTATGTTTAACTGAATTCATTATATTTATGACTGTTTAGAAAGTGTTTTCTAAGCTTCTGAACTCTTTTGTTCAAGACCTTTAAATATAATGAGACTCCTAATTATTAGTAATATCGCGAAGTTGTGTATGATAAAAACCAATGATGGGAAAAAAATTTGACCAATTAGCTTCCAAAGTACCATTATGTTTCAAATCAGTTCATAGTTTAGGTGTAATTTATATCTCAAATGTTATTATTTTAAATATGTTATTTAATCATTGTTATTTATATCTCATAAATATTTCACATGTAAGAATATTCGATTCAATCACTTTTAGTTCATAACATACATATAAATAACAAAATGTTAATATATTTTTATAGGAAAAGATTACAAAATAATTTTATTAAATAAATTTAGGATTTGATTATGATTTATGAATTAGTGTTCTATTTAATCAAATACATCTTTATTTATGTTTTATATTTATATATTAATAATCTTTGAGAATTCATTTTAGTTTCTTTTTGTCAGTGAAAAAGTAGAGTTGTATTTTTACATTTTACTAATTTTGTTAACAGAAAAAAATTATTTTACATACATTTCCACCATTACATCGATAACCAATCAAAGTTTATTTAATTTTGAAAGTATTGAAATCTGTAATGTAAATATAATTTTAAACTTTAGATTTGATGTTTTGGTATCAGAGGAAAACATATTGGGCAAACCTTAAAATATGATTGATTTTGAAGACGATTTAAATGGAACAAAAACCAACTATAGTTACTTCATTTTAATATGATCCCTCAAACATCTTTCTATTTTCTCTTAGCCAAATTGAAAATACGAAGTGTTTTTCTCTCTCTTTCTTGTTTTGGTTCCATTCTGTCTTTGTCACTTTACAACAAAGAAAAAGGACTGATAACAAATTACAAACTGGGACAAAGACTAAACAAAAAGCACATAAAGCTCAATGTGAAAATTACAGGAATCTGATAAACTTCTCTACAAAAGTCACTCCACAATATTCTCATGTCAATAAATGTAGATATATATATATATATATATATATATATATATATATGTCAAGTCTCCAAGGTATAAACAATTCAACAATACAATTGCATCAGTAACACATCACGTTGTTTTAGAAAGATTTACTCAGATTCATCGAAATCCATCTCTCTTCCCTAGTAGCAAAACAACGTTATTAAAGCATTAGTGAACGTTGACTCCCTCCCAAACGCAACGATGATATGCGATTCTCACCCCCAGTGGCGGAGCCAAGAAATAATTTTACGGGGGTCATTGTTAAAATAACAAGAAATACAAATAAAATGTTCTTTGTATATTGGTGGGAAAAAAAGGAGAAAATATGTGGCAGATGCAAATGGATATTGTATTAAATTATTGAAAAAAAAAGATTATATAGAAAGAAACTCGTATAGATGTCATTGACAAAAAATAAGAAGAACATGTGTCAAATGGTGTATTCGAACACTGGTTAGGGGGGCAGCAGAAGTTATTTACACCAAATGTGCCATTGACGTTATATGTTTCAAGCCTACTAAATTAGTTTATGACAATTAACCAGGGTCACCTGACCCCCCTCCTATACGCGTATGGATCCGCCCCTGCTCACCCCCTTTTCAAGGAACTTGAACAAAACTTCCGGAGACTGTTGTACATCTCATATTTTCTTCCACTTCTCTCTCTCCATAGAATAGAACTTTGGAAAACGTATCTCAGTAGAAACATGTTTGTGCCGTTCCTTCCACTATCTACCAATATGGCCAGGATGTTGTTCTGCTTTGATGTGTAGCTTGTGTTAAGAGATTATTTGTGTAACTATTCCAAATCTGTTGAGAATAAGGAACAGCTAAAGAAAAGATAATCCCGAGTTCAATATGGCCCGAACACAAGACACAATGAGCGTCTGAGTGCAGACTCCATTTTTGAAAACGAACACATGTAGCCAAGCGATCATGGACAGCTAAGCATGTAATGAAAGAGTACTTTGGAGTCGCTCCAGGGAACCTGACCGCATGAAACCAGTTAACTGGAGGCAACTGCAAGCTCGTCATCTGCCAAGTTTGATGTGTATTGAACTTTGACGTAAAAGAGTCTCCCTTTCCCTTTCAAAGCCAAACATCCATATCTGAAGTTAGACCCTGCAATCACAAGTTGTGGATCTCATTCTCTATGTCAATCAGATTCCCAACCTCACTTGTTTCAAATATCAAGAGCAAATGCTGTCTTAGTTCTTACCTCTTTGTTGCTCATGTATCCAAAACCTCACATTCCTCCACTGGACATTTTACAATCCGAGCAGCCCATATGCAAAATTTCTCCTCTTGTAGACTAACCCATTCTATTGCTTCACCAATTGTTCTCCACTTTTCTTCTATGCTTCCTACTCCATCAAAAATTGTGTCATATAATAGAAGTCTATTATCTCTTAAAAAAATCTTACAAAACTGATTAAACTTCTCTAAACACATTGACCAAAAATACATATCTTAAAACAAAACACTCAAAGATCACTTTTAAATGCTTGAGCATACATGGCTTGAAGCTCATGAACCTTGGCTTGATCATGTAACTGACCCGACCACCCTTCTTGTTAACCCTTGGCAATGGCTCAGCCATGGCGTCTTGGTCATCCCCACTTGATCCAATCGTGACATATGAATAGCGCCTGACCTCCTATTTTGTTATTCAAGACCTTGTAATTTTCTCGACTAATTTGTTATCATGCACAATGTCTTTTTCACTTCTTTTCCTGTCAAGCAAGAGATCATGGTCAAGACACCATATATGATCTTCTCATCGAAATCAAGAAAGTATCAGTTGATCCCCTTATAAACATTTGATATTATATGTCAAGTAGATGCATTCTCTCCAATCTAACATATTAAAGTTCACAGGTTGACATGAAGATGGGCAGTGACAACAAAATCAATTTCTAAATTATCTCCCCTAAATGAAAGATCTATGAATAAAATTTTGATAATTAATACATGAATAAACTGAAATAAAATAAACTAACAAAATCGGAATTAAATTTATTACCCATGAATGGGAAATTTTGGAAAAGTTTCTCCCACAAATGAAAGCTTTTGAATAAAATTTTTGATAATCAATAAAAGAAAAAAATTGAAACAAAATCAACCAATAAAATCTAAATCATCTCCCATAAACAAAGCTTTGATTTTAAAATTA